GTAGAAGAGAGATTTCAATTAATTTCAAAGTTCCTCCCCCTGATGAAGTCACATTGAGGTCGATTGAATTCCTCATCTATTTTTGTTCAATTTTCGTTAAATTTCAAACAATGTTTTTCAAGTGGGATTTTGCTTGTTTGAAATGTTTGGGTTTTAACATTTTAAAATCCTTTTGTTGTATTTATATGATTACTTGAAATTTATCAATTATGAATTTCAATTTCTGGTCTTTGTGAAATATTAACAATAGTTCTAAATTTCTTACTTTATGGTTTTAATTATAATTTTTCTGCAGCTTAATGCGCGAGAATACTAGGCACGTTTTGTGTTTTGTTTTCAAAGAATTGTTTTGTAATTATATATATATATATATATACATATACATATATAAAGCAATTATTTATAATTAGAACACTTTTTACATAAAGCCTCCAAGGAACGTATCTTCAATAAAAACCATAAATTATTAAACTTTTTATTCAGTATTTTAATCAGTTATTTAAATAGCCTTAACTCTACCTTTATATAGATATAGTATATGCATATGCATAGTAGATAGTATATATACACCCAACCTCCATATCCGGCTTAAATATCTATACCAAGCATTGTTAGTCATAGTCATATACTTCCAGAAGTATTCTCAATGACGAAAATGTTCACGTTTTGGCAATGTCAAATTTATAAAAAAACATTTTTGACAAATAACGATATCTGACTTTAAATGCGGTCCTCCGGTTCCAGTACTTGACATTCGGAAAGTTTTATTCTCGTTATGAAAAAAACATAATGTGCGCGTGATTAAGCGTCCAATGCGGATTCTGATATTGATGGTTGGATGGCTATGCTGAAGCTGATTAGCGGATACAAAAGCTACCTAGTGGATAATCGGAGACGGACTGGTGTCCCTTCCATTTCTGCCTCTACCTCTATTATGTAGGGGAAAAGATAGCTAGCCTTTTCTTGAAACTATGCATATGTATAAAAGTGTTACCAAATTTCTTCACGGTTGTAATTCTAATTACTTTTTTCCAACCAGTCTTTGAACCGTACATTTTTTGCTTTATTTCTTTCCTTTTTTCCCAACATGTATCATTAGCTTTTCGTTTTATTTCAATAATTATAATAGATGATTGTGAAGCGCTTCGTGGATGATTCTTCGTTGTCGCTTCCAACCAACTTTGTTCCAATTAGAGCTGGAGACGATTCGCTGTGGAATTGATTCAAAAAACTGATTTACTTTACTCAGAGAATGAATAGATAATTCTACAAAATGGAGTAATAACTCTTTTACAGTTCAAGAACAGTTCTTGTTCATAGCGCGCCAGGGACAGAGATCTTCAATCATTCGCAAACTGGTCCTTTTTACTAAAATTTCCCGTTACTGAATCCCTTTATTGATTCGAAAAAAAAAGTTATTCTTGTTGAAAGCATGCCAGGAAAATTTGATTCCTAATTTAGTAAAGAAAGAATGTTTATTCTCTCATGTTAAACGTGAGTTTAATTATTGTTATTCCAATTTTTGAAATAAAATTATTCTAGATTTTTGTTGTTAATTCTATGTAGAAAGGAGGTTTTAGGAAATCTGAAACTAACAGTTAAAATAAATCAGCTCAGGAAGTTAACATTTAGCTGACACTTTTGATCCTGATGCTCGTTCTACTTCTTTCCTTTCTATTTCTATTCCTTTTCTCTCCAGCATGGATAATCGTTCACATTTCTGTTGCGCGTTCAATTCTATCCGTTCTTCGCACCATCCTCACTAAACGCTCTTGATTCACTCCTCATTACCTATGTTTCTTATCAAGGTTGTTACTTAGTGTTGCATGATAAAAAGAACAGTAATTCAATTAAGTGAGCTAGTTGTTCTGATCTCATCCCAAAACAGAGCAATTTTGATCATCTCTAATTTTCATTCTTTTATCAAATATATCAGAAGTGAATATTTGGGTTTCTAAATATGTCTAGAAGTTTCTTTAATAAATTATACTATAAACGCTAATTTATAAGCTTTAATTTTACTTTCTGATTTGCCTTTTTATTAACCTGCATAAACTTAGGGAATAAATTTTAAGCGCGATTTTCTGTAAAGCTGAGAGTTTGTGTTCGTTAGTGATAAATATGTACTTCATTCAGCAGGAGGAAATTGAATCAGATCTTGTAAAAAAATTGCTAGACATTTAGGCACAACCGTTTACGCTAACATCCTATTTTATAAACTATCAATAAAAACGGAATATTTTTTATTTACGGAATATTTATTGTAAACATTGAAATAACGCCAATATCATTCTTTAATATGCAGTAAATTCTCGAGTTATGTTACTGAGTGCTTAAATACTGTATTTATATCCTTTATTCTATGATGAAAATCGTTTGTTTTGGTGTATTGCATCCCCTCTTAACGTTTGTTGCATTGGTTTAGGAACAACCTGTGTATTACATCCAGACTGTGAATCACTTCTTAAAAAACGTCCTGTTAAATTCTTTCTTGAGTGCGCTTTTAATTTATAATTTTAAAATGCTGATAGCAATAAAAATAATCAATTTTTATGTAACTCTGAAAATAACTTAACATACTTGTGTAACCCTGAAAGTATCTTAACATTACCCAATAAAAATACACTGCTGGCCACCCAAATATCAACACCAAGAAAGACAAGAGAAATCACAACAAAATTTTATTTAGTAGATAACATGTTGACCAAGTATCAAATGATTAAATTTATAGACTTCTGTGAAGTGTGGTTCCTTCCAGAATCAGTAGCCAGAGTAGCCGCCATTGTTGGAGATCACCGTTGCCACACGCCTCGGCATTGATTCAAAGAGACTTTGGATGATCTGGTGTGGCAGCTTGAGATGTAATCTGGGTCAATCGTTCAGCAACCATGGACCACATTTTTTCTATTGGCAAAAGATCCGGAGAGCGAGCCGGCCAGGGAAACAATTCAATATGGCGATTGACGAAGAACCCTTGGACAATGCGTGCCATGTGTGATCGCGCATTATCCTGTTGAAATATGGCCGTGGGCAAGCCCTGAAGGTAAGGAAGGACAACTGGCTTCAATACCTCGGAGATGTAGCGCTGGATGTTTAAAGTACCGGTAATCTCCAGTAATAATCCACGGTAATAATCCACGGTGTCTCCTGACTCGAATCCGACCATCGTGATGTTGCAGACAGAAGCATGACTCGTCAGTAAAGACAATTTCACTCCATTTTGCCGTCCATATCCTTCTTTCATCGTACCATTGGCGGCGGAGACGTCTGTGGTTCCGCGTCAAGGGTAGACGAAGCAATGGACGTCTTGCGGACAAACCACTTTGCTGTAAACGGTGTCGAATGGTGCGCGCAGACACTGGATGATGCGTTACAGACTGAATGTGCTGTGCTATGGTTCGTGATGTGACTCAGCGATCCGTCACTGCCATGCGCACAATGTTTCTGTCATCACGTGAAGTGATGCACTGAGGTGGATGCGGTCGAACACGTCAGTTCGTCGTACCCTCCTGCATCCAACGGTCCCATATCCGCATTAAAGTTGTTTGGTTTCGTCCAACACGACTACCGATTTCCCTGAAAGATAATCCATACTCTCGGTAGGCTACTATCCTTCCTCTGTCGAACTCGGATACTTGATCAAACGATGATCGCTGTTTACTACGAGGCATAATTGATCGTTTTTTTGGAGAAAAAAACTACAAGAAAAACACAATTGCCGAACTTGAAATCGTCGAAAACTCCAAAGCTTAAACATCGCTTTGAAGTGGCGCCACAGACGTACGTGATGTGCGTCTGCGCTGAAATTCTAATCATTTGCATATCTCACCTCCGCTAATGCATGTTGTAAATTTCATGTTTTTTGCATGCTTCCTTCAGGGTGTTGCATTTACGGTGGCCAGCAGTGTAGATAAAAATTAATGGAAACTTGAACTTGCTCTTACTTTGTTTTCATTTTGTTCGGTTCAAATTCATGTATTGGAATTATGAAAGAATTCGCTCATTTTATTTTATTTATTTATCTTTTATTATTAACAAGAAAACGCTATCATATATGTATATAATAAGAACCCTTTCACGTATGTTAAGGTCAATATTAGGAACATAAGTGTCCAGACACCATTTTCAAATTCTTTGCGTGTTTGCAAGACATTTGTTTATAAATTTAAACATATTTATGAGGCTTACTCACACAGAAAAAAAGTTCAAGAAGGTTGTTTTTAAATTTTCACTTGTTTTATTTGCAACAATTCGGTCATACATCAGTTTTTTTGCGAAGGTTTGTAATTTATTACAGCATAAAGAAATTCCAAGGGAGAATACAAACAGGAAGAATTTTATATATATTCACTATAGTCTCCAATTACTAATAACTAAATAGGTTATTAACACAGCTGCGCTGATCGATATGATAATTAAAGGCGATAACTACCATATCATTGACACCATGCTGAAACCTTGGAGAAACCAACGTTGTTTTACAAAAGAAAGTACTTAATATGTCATTGAACCGCAAGTCTCGTCAAGAGATTGATAGTACGAGATTACATTAGAAGATCCATGAATTAGACCCACTCCTTCGGATATTCTCCATCCAAAATGAGAAGGAGTTGGCAAAGCCAAGATTTCGGGCATATAGATAATGCCTAGAACCAAGGTCCTGTTAATAAGATCTTGTTGTGTTTGCCTTAATTTTTCTAACAGTTAACTTTTAGTTAAAAGTTACTTTCCTACCTTCCTGAATTTCAGCTTACAACTTCGGGCCAGAACGTATTTTCAGAATCGCGATTGAATGCAAATGAGGAGAAGAAATATTTAACTGTGAAGTTCTACTGACTTCGTTAGAAAGTCAGAGATTCTGACTAGCCAGCGTTTGCCTTTTTATGCTACTCTCTCTCTCTCTTAAGCTATTATTACGCTCGGCCGTATTTAAGGCCCTTGATAGCTTCGCCATTAGTTAACATTAAGGGTCCAACTCTGTTAGAATTTTGATAGCTTCGGCTATATCTTTTTAGTTAAGATTATTTAAGTTTTAGTTCTTAGTTTCCTGAGTTCAAGCCCAAATGGAAGCTTTATTGTAACTCCAAGCAGGAATGCACTGTTAAACTTTATTTGGAATAATAAAGTGTAATTAACCCTTTTCGAGTTTCTATTCTCTGTCTACTGAACTAAAGCGATTATTCGCTTACCTCGCTGCTGAACTAAAGCGATTATTCGCTTAAGATTCCTCAACTTTAGCTGTAGATTAAAACACAGGAATCTTACAATCTATGTGCCCAAAAGCAAGGTTTTGAGCACTTAGATGCCCAAAGCCTTACTTCTGAACCCTTGGCTCTTGGCCCCATAAAGATCGTAGATCTGATCTGGCTTACATTCCGGTTAGGAAGATTAGTAACACAGCATCCTAATGACTGGTTGAAATTCTACAAATCTACATTGTTTAAATATTTATCTGTTGTTCTTACAGACAGCAGATCCTGTAGTCATAAGCTAGTTACACATGAAGATTTACACTATTTAGAAATTCGCCGAGAGGAATCAAACGAAAGTAATTTCCCATGGATCATCGGCCGTTCCGACAGATCTCTGTTTTATTAAGGGGTTTAATTCGGGTTAATTATTAAGAACTCTACATTAAAAAAGGATTAAATTTCTTAGTTCTAGTTTGTTGGTTCGCATACGTTTTAACCTGTACTCTGAGATTTACTGGCTGATGAGGAAGTTTGTTCACTAGATGAATTCTGGGAAATCTTTCCGTATCTCAGTCTCTCCCATGTCTGATAGAGAATTTTCTTTTTACAGATAAATATCACAAAAAGAAAAAATCCATGTAGCGCTGTAAGCATCCCAGCCACAGCATATAAGTAGTAAACACCCGTCACCAATGGCAAGAATTCTGCTATCCATGTAATTCCCATTACAAGGAAAAGTTTCAAGTATAAGTTCAGCCTGTATGAGAGAAAATAAAGTACGCTTTATGAGTATTATTTATTGAAAAGAACAACAAACACAGATCTTTCACTTAATCTCAAGCAAGGCAATTTTTACAGTAAATTAATTACTATCAATAAATCACTAGCGAATTGATAGAATGTTGAATCCAATTTAAACTTCGGTGAGAGTTTTATTTCTTTAATGTTAGATTATATTGTAAGAGCATTAGAGGTAGTAAGTATTAATTTTGGGAAACACTTTGTGTTTCAAAATACATTGCTAGCACAGAAGGGGCTAGTATTCTCCATCCTCAATTTTAAAATCAAAAGTCAATCATTCATGTAGTATATATAGAGAGAAATAAAGAGAGAAAGAATTTAGTCACGCCTGTGCAACAGAATTGCTGTTAAAATCGACATTAATGCCAACTCTACATTCTACATTCTATCAATGACGCGTAGAAAGCTTATAACTTACATCGCACAAGCTTATAATTTAAAATCACTCATCACAGAATCAGTTTTGCAGTATATAACTTTTCAAATTATGCATGGAGCTTTACAACCCTAATATTTGCTTATGACGTATGTATTTATTATCTCAGTGTTTTCCTCGTGCCTTCGGGTTGTAACTAGAAGCACTTCCGACGCGTAATCGGGAGGTCTGGAGTTGAATCCCGGCGAGGCTTTGTGGATTGATTTTTCAAGCTTCCTAATTTTCGAAAAGTATCAAAAGACTTTATAAACGGCACCGAACTAAAAGGGGATGGACAATAATTCGTCGTCAACAGGAATTGGCGACTGGTTTCCCACTTCCCCGGTCGCTCTTTAAAAAAGGATAGCGTATTAAGTATTTTGTCCCTCTTTTTTGCGTGCATTTGTCGATAACACGTCCGATATGTAATCGGAAGGTCCGGATTTCGAATTTATCTGAATTCTAAGGTGCATACATCCAATCCACGCGATTTGTCAGAATTGAAAGGAGCCGTAAGACGTGAAGTTATACAGATTTTCTCCTGGTATTTTGCGTTTGTAATTGTTGCTCTCCCACATGCAATGCGTTGTCATCTGCCCAGGTGAGCACGTTGAAAACTTGTAATATCAATAAAAAGTTTATTTCCCTTTCCTCTCTTGTGCTGCCATTTTTCCTATACAAAATTCTCTTTGCAAATGGCAATCATCGCCATACGCATATCGTGCCAACGCCATTAATGGGTTTTCAAAGTTTCCATTTGAAAATTTCGGATCTTTTTCACTGTAACCGTAATAGTGAGAGCTGTATTGTTTTAAATCATCACAGTCTCAAGCGCATACCTTCAAATAACAATATCTGAAATTTCATTTCGATTGGTTGGCCAGATAGGCCGCTGAGAGTTCGTATATCGGGGAAGTTTTTTATGATCCCTATGTATAGAACTGCTTCGATAACAAAGTTCGTTTTCTAGTCCTTAATTTACATTTACAGACTTTGATCCGCATTATCTTATTTACATCTACACTTCTTGATTTAGATATTCTGTCCTTACCTTTTTTAGTTCTTTACTTTCAGACCTACATATTTTTTATGGAACAGAAATAGCAGGAGGAATAGTAAGTCTAATATAACAGAAAAATGAAGGACTAACAGGAGAGCAAAATTTTAACTCTCAAACAATCTGGAATTGTTTCTTTCTAATTTTTTAAATGAAAGTGAATATCATTCTATAAGCTCATTCTAAAGTCGTCCAACAAAATTTTCAGAGAAACCATTTAGGCATATGATCATAAACAAAATTTTTTTTAAATTCCTTAAAATAATTTTGCTTTTATTTGCTTAGTATATGCATATTATATATGCTTAAATTTGCATTAGAAATATATGAAAATTTATTTTGAAAACAAGCAATGCAACATCAACATATTACTAGTATATATTCTGTAATATCGATATGTACAGAATCTGAAGAAATAGCGCTATCACATATTTCTTCAAATTTTACTGTAAAACAATTTTATAACTAAATCTTTCTAAAACTATCAGATAACAAATTAAATTACGAAAAAATATTTTTCTGTTCATCTCACACAATTATATCACTTTTTCTATTTTATGACAATTTTATTGTAGCTATTAAACATATTAAGTAGTTCAAAGAAAAACATGTGCGTTATAAATAAATTTCAGGTAAGTTATTTAGCATTTCGTTATTGTTTTAAACATTGTCATCATTTTCGAAAAATCATTTGCTCATTATAAAAAAATTACCGAGAAAAACCGCGGAAGAGCAGAAAAATTGACTCTCGTACGATAAAATTTACAGAGATATTTGATTTCGAAATCTGCGACTTTTGACGTTATTTTCATTTTGCATCACTTTGCATAGGTAAATAAATTTTAAAAAAATTGAGATTGATTTTTCCCTTTAAATGCCAATCTATGACGTTCTTTTCTGATATACTAGCGTCGTCAGTTAGTAATTTTGTTACATTTGGTATGCCGAAGGAAGTTTTAAGCAAGTAATTTATAAGTTTTCAAAGTCTAAAAATATGTTACAAGTTTTTTTACTTTAGAATCATAATCTGATAATCGTACACAAATTCACTAAATTGCAGTTATTTTTCATTTTTAATTATTTAAGATAACATTACGAGTTGGCTGTCTGCCAATGCTGAAACCTGCTAAGTTTTCTAGTATACTAATTCTCTAAGATTCTATAAGATTTCTATTTTCAAAACTATTTATATCGATTAATATGATTCACAGTAATCTGCATAGAAGTGCTTGTCCCTTAATCTCTTACATGAGAAAACCTTTTTCTAAACTGATATTTTATTTTTAGTTACGTATACACGCAAGCATTTCCTTCTTCAATTTGTGGTCCCTGAATATGATGCTCGATTTTCATATCAAACGCCTCGATCAATGATTTTCGTATGAGAATCTTTTTTTTTGGCTAAGTATCATATTTTCCAAGAGATAAATATAAAGACCAAAGGAACGTATAAAAAGCTAGATTTTGTAATTTTGATAAAATTGAATTTTTAAAATTCGAAAATGCCAAAACAAAAAATCTATGCGTCATTCAAAAAACTTATTTAATTGGAAGTTATACAGCCTTTTAGAATTTATCGATGACAGGAAACAAGAAATCCGCAATGCTCTCGCCAGGATTCGAACACCGAACCTCCCGACTGAAAGCCGGACGTGATATCTAGTTACACCGCGAAGATATGTGATAAGGAGAGAGAAAATTGCCTAAATCTTAAAGGGGTTTTCTGGAGAAGAGGGCTCAGTCGCCAAATCCTGTTGGTGTTGAATTATCGGCCACCACCTTTTAGTTTGGGAGCCACTCGTAGCAACTTTTTTGAAATTTTTTCGAAGCTAGAGAATGGCTAATGCCTCGGTAAATAAGGGGCAATGCTCTCGCTGGGATTCGAACACTGGACCTCAAGATGTTGTCCGGACAATGCTAGTTACAGCACGAAGGCACGCGAAAAGGAGGGAGAAAATACTTTGCAATATATATATATATAATAGATTATGCAGTAAAAACTCAGGAGCTTGATGGCGTTGAAGTGTTGATCTATAATGAATAGAAAATTGGAGGCGAAGGTAGATTAAATCTTCATTTTTTATTGCAGCAAACATGTTGCGGCCACAAAAAAGTTAGCATTTTAATTGTGCCCATTCAAAAGACCTTACATTTTTTATTTAATTGGCATAAGAAAGAATGAGCGGACAGGTTCTAGTCCAGCTAGGCCAAAGCGTAGAAAGCAAGTGCGTTATGTTCAGGGTGAAATCTTAATTCAGACTGAATTAGTTTTGGTTCTCAAAACATTTTGATTGGATAGTTAATACTGCTGTAAAATTAATATTGGCTGTTTGAGTTTTAATTCCATTTACATCATCAGAATTATGCAAGAGTCATATGACATAGATTAGTCTCGAAATAATGCAGTGCAAATAGAACTTACTATTTTTAGATTACAGAATGGAAATTTACGCTGCTAATTTAATGTTTTACATATTCTTTATTTTTCTTACATATCCTGTCATATTTTCGAAGCACATTCGCAATGGCTGGAACTCTTAACAGCTTTCGATAATAGTCATGGCTGAGCAGACAGTAATGGTTGTAGGTAAAAACTATGACGACATAGTTAACACACTCTAGCTTGAAGTATTTCCAGTCTTCATTTCAACGCATATAAATTCATCTTAGTAGATATTTATCCAATCATAATGAAATCCGATGCATTTCTATGATTCAAACATAATGACATATGATAAATATTTATGAACACTGATTTTGAAAAGAAATAAAGTAGGCATTTTAAAGAAGCGAAGCGAGAAAGTATTAGGAATGTAAAGCTAGCAGAATAATGACGTAATTAGCTCGCCAGAGATATTTATATCAAAGCAGGTGCGATCCTAGAGACAAGCTATGATTGGTTAATATTAGTTTCAGTTGCCCTTTCCCAGTAGCGTTGTATAACGTAGAACGATCTCGAATTTAGGAGAACAGATGAATTTAGGGGTAGAGCACCAAATCTAGAATGTTAATTTTTAGGTCGCCAATTATTTTTAAAGCCAATTATAACTAATTATTTTCTTACATCTTACATCTTTTTAGATGTAATATTTTAAGTGCGTAGTCGTGAATCCGGTACTTTAATTTCTAGCATTCGAAAACAATGGCGACTGAGGGTGAAGGCTTGATGAAGACGATAAAAAAACTAATTTCGGCGAATCACCATCTTTATTTTTATACATTTCAAATCATCTCTTTGTCAAACAAATTACTTTTCAATCATCGCCTAATACAATAAATTTTTATGTAACAGAAAAAGAGATACGACGTCATTTCAGGCAGGTGACAGGTGACGGAGGACGGGGACGCCTGACGTATAACATAGGTAAACAGGCATATGTCCCACGTCCTCCACTATCTCGAAGAAGCAACTCGCTGGAGCCCCGTGAGGCTGCACCAGGAGTTACATGCCATACAGGGGCTAGATTCGGGTAGTTTTACATATACGTTGTTATAACACAAATACTTAGAAAGAAATAAAGGATAGCATTAAAACACTAAAACACTCTATAAGCTGAAACACATAGATACACAAATAAACGTAAAAGCATAAAAACAACACCGTAGTTACGTAACATAAGACCATAACCACACGAAAATACATTCATGACACATAGAAACATATGGAAACACGTAGAGCACTAAATGCAAATATTACACTCAGAGGAGACATATAACATAGTAAGGTGTGCGTAAATCATATTGCTGTGCGGAAATATGCCAGTTCCATAATACATAATGTACATACTTTCATTAGGGGCTTCTGTTGCATGAATTACATATTTCGTTGCATACACTACATTCGTGCATTGTACGGATATTATATATTTCGATTTACGATAACACGTCATTTCAGGCAGGGAATAGGCGGATAGCGGAATAGAATAGAATAGGGATAGCTGTGCAGAATTGTTTGCATGTCAGAAGTCAGGAAAAAAAGTAAGGCGTAATTGTCGCGAAGCAGTATTTATACTACATAGGTGCAAATGTGAAGCTAACCGTGATTGGTTAATTTTAGTTTCAGTTATCTTTTTCAAGCAGTCTTATGTAATTTGGAAAGATCTCGATTTTGGGAGAAAGAATGAACTTAGGGGGCAGAACACCAAATTTAGAATAGTTAATTTTGAGGTTGCCAATTATTTCTTTAAGCAGCTATCGTACTTTGTTATAGCTTACATATTCCCAATGTTTTTTATTTACACGACAAGTTTCTTATCACATAAGTCGGGGTTTACACTCGTCCCTCGTGTTGCGTATTTCCATACGCATTTACAATTATGAATTGAGCTCGGCGTATCTGGTGACGTGTCATTTATAGAATCATCCGTCTGCCATCTGCGTCATCAGTATGCCAAGAAAGCATTCCAAGGCATCCGAGATAAGCTCAACGCACATTGACAGTGACGAGACCATTTCAAAAGACAATATTTTGTATTATGCAATTTTTTTTTCTTTGTGGACCGCTGGAAATGCATGATGACTGTCACCCATAATGGATTCGCGAGTCATTTATGACATGCGTGTCACAGGTTCGCCGTCACTGCCCTAAGATTATGCTTATTGCGTATTCTGGTTTTCCATGAACATTGTGCTACACTTGCCTCGCATAGCTGTTTGTTTAGAACTTAAGAGGGAGGTGAAGAACAGTAACCTAGACATGATTTTCATTATTCTAATAGCTTAAATAGGATAAATTTAAAGGTTAGTAATATTTTTAATCAAAATTGCAAAAATTAAGCAACAAAGTTTGAAAAGTGCTGAAACTTTACAGTCCAAGGTATCCATAAAGCTCGTTGTATCCCATTTATATAAATATGGAAGTTTCCTATAGCGGAGTTTGATTGTATTTAACATATGGTTCCTTACCTTTGCTGTTGCTTCTTGACATCCAGAATGCTCGTCATTTTTTTGATGATCCAAAGCTTTCTGATGGTAAGGATGAACATCACGAGGTTGTTGAAGAGTATTATTCCTACTGGTAGATTGAAATACAAATAGAAAGCAATCCTATTGCTTATCCAGCACCTCCTAACTCCGAACTGGGGTTTGTATTTCTTGGGTATTGAGTTTGTCATTTCCACGACAGCAGCTGGCAAGGAGATTAAAGCAGTTGCTGTCCAAGCATAGATCGAATATTTTAAGTACTTGCTCGAGTGACTTCCTCCTTCACTTTTTGCCTTCATATGCGTTATCGTTCTCCAGATGTCATAGGTCATGATATTGGTCCAGAAGAACGTGCCAAGGAATGTGACATGAATTACCATAGCGATGGTAAAGCAGAAAGAATAGGAAATATGATTTCGTAGAATCAAGTCTAGAATAAGGAGCAAGAAGGTTGTCAGTAGGCAAGATGATAATGTTATCAGGTTTTTGCCATGCACGTTTCGGAATTCGGGAAGAACTGAGTAAACAATCAGCGAAAGGATGAGGCAGATGTTCGACAATACCATCTCTGCAACAATTATGGGATAAAATCTTGCCATGATGTTGCCGCTTCTTGTAGGTATCCCGGTGGTTACTTTGCTGCTGTTGAAAGAGTCGCTCACATTTTGCACCAGATTTGAGTAATCAAGGGTGAAATTCGAAGTTACAAAATCCATTTCTGTTACATTCTGAACGAAGTATTCCGTCGATAATTGTAAGGCGATAATTGTAAGAAGGCCTGAAATAAAATAATTACACAGATAATTATTAAAATATTGAAAGCAGCTTGTATATTGTACGCCATTAAGCAAGCTGTTCTAAAATGCATACGATTAAGCAGGAAGAATTAATTAGTTGGTGCCTTTATAGTGAAACCCACAAACTTAACTAGGTTTGGTTCCTTTTGAAAGACTGCCCTGCAGTTTATCGCTCCGTATTAGTAAAGCGACTAGAAACTCAGGAGAAGATTTAAACAGACATTGTTTTATGCAAACTTCGAAATTAACCAATGCATAACTCATGCTTACCATTGAGTCTCCGCTACTTTTGGGATAGTTTTTATTTTATTTTATTTTAAAGTCATATAATCCTTATTGGAACACCCTTTATAAGGGAATTTATGTTTAAATTTATTACGTTCTGTATTTTCTTTAATTAGGCATAGTTATCTTATGTAAACGAATCTTAGAGCAATTTAATGATTACAAGAATGCGTTTATAAAACAGGGTAATATATTTGTGCTAACCCAGCTACATAAAATTTATGTTCTATATAATCTACCAATAAATAATAATAAATAAACTAGCAATAAATAAATAAACTAACAGTAAATCAAGTTAAAGAAACGAAATTGTTATTATGAAATGTATAAAAAAAAATTTATGTGTACATCACATGACTTCCTTGTGCGGAATATTAAATTATACGCCTTTTTTCCTGCATTTCATTTAAACTTATTTCCTCGAATTTCATTAGAGATATATTTCTCATTTAATTAATTCAGTTCTCACTTCGCGACATGGAAAAATAAATAAAACCTCAAATTATCTTTATTAAAAATTGAAACATATATAAAAACATTAGACGTGAATATAGTTAATACAATTTAAAAATAATTTTTACGTTTAAAATTACAGTTTCTACGCAAAAACAAGCAATTCGGCCGGCGGGGAAAGAAGGCAGATTTCTCAGTGCACAAAACCGAAAGTTTACTTTTGATCTCACTCGGCAAAAAGATACTGAGAGCGTAGAAACTTACTTAATTTGTTGTGGACGCTATGCTGAGTCGTATATGGGATAATACAATAACTGAAATGGTAATTCGAGAAGAGATTACGCATGACTTAATTCGCAATAGTAAAAGAATACGTTATATTTGTTGTTGCGAAGCTTAATTTCTTTAGATTGGCAACAAATCCATTATTCTGCTAAGTTTTAAATGTAAACAAATATGGTTGCTATGGTAAAACTTAAGCTTAGCCGTACTTAAACAACTTTTACATTGATGATAATTCTACAAATGTTGCATGCGGGTTAACTAAAGCCATGAAAACCTTAACCGAAAGATAAGAACAACATAATTCAATCATTTTTTAAAGCAAAATATGCACAATTTACCAACGTATTAGAATACAAAACCTGAGCTCACGGAGCCGAGCAACAAAGTGGGTATATGTATATATATATTTATTTACCTTTGGTGCCGACATTTGCCACCAAAACGGGAGGTGCACAATTACATCCTATAGACAAAATTTCAACGTTCTGTGGCTACTCGTTTTTGAGTTATGCGAGATAAATCCATACATACGTAAGGTACGTACGTAAAGACGTCTCGAAAAAGAAAGAAGAAGTCTCGAAAAAGAAAGAAGAAGAAGAAAGGGGAGAAAAGAGTCTTTTATTCTGTCCTTACGTACAAATATCACGCTAAAACATTGTTGAACTGCATTCGATAGCAGTAAAAATGGATATTTTCGTTGAAATATGGCACCCGGAATATTTCATGATTACAATACTTCCTTTACTTCGTGCAAGGTAGTAATAAAGGTCTATGTTTATCCTTGAGGAGTCCAAAACAGCTCTTAGTTTTGAAATGCGATTTTGTGTCGTCCACTGTAATTGGGTTGTTTTATTTTTCATTCGAGTCTGTTGCCATTTGGAAAAATGTATGATGCTCCATCATATTTAATCTGCCTGTTATTAATGAACAAAAGCTATTTAAAAGCAATTGCTGCAGTTCTTAAGCCTATTATTTTTTTTTTTTACTTTTAATCGAATTGACTAATGCATTTGATTAAATAAAAATGCATTTAAAATAAAAAATATAAAAATGCATTTGATTCATAATATATATAATTAAAAACATTTGATACTTTTATGGAAATACATTGCACATTTTTTCACTTTTAAAGTAAGTAGAAGATATGTAACATTCCCAAGTTATTCTAAATGCTTAATCATCAAATATCGTATAAAGTGTTTCGCTATTCCACCTGGACCATCTCTATTGATAATCTCTGCTAATCAACCACATTAATCTTTAAAACAGCCCTCTTGGGCGAATGTTAAAATCTCACCCTTTAAGATTTAAATTTTTTTAATGACTTAGCCTGTATTTTCATGATGAATCATCTATTTCTTTTTAATAAAACTTCCTTACATGGTACAAAACAAAACATACATTTATCAAATTGCTAGCATTGCACATTTGAAACAGAGAAATTTTTAATAGGCTCGTACACTGTGAAAGCAAGCATTAGCATTTGAACTGCGATTAATTAATCTTCATCGAGTTCGCTCAGCGATGAGAGTTTGAACTCGGCTTTTTCGATGGCGTGCAGCAAGAGGAAGCTTTGGCCTCTCTCCCCGTTATGTTTCTTCAGGCTATGTCTGTACTGGTATGATCAAGAGAATTGTGAGCTCAAAACAACAAAGAATTGTTCGATTAGCTCCATTTTGAAGCAAATATCTTCATTCATCAAAGAACGATGTTTTATGGTTAAAACCTCGTCCTGCAATGGTGTGCGCGTACCATGTGCTGTAAACTAAATATAAAGCAATGCGCAATATAGTTATTTTTTTTAAGATCACGTGGTGATTGGACACACATGGTAATTTACGTCATTAATTAGTTTTGGATACTTTCAAACTCATAACATTATATCATGCATGCTTTGTGATGATAAACGTAAAACTTGGAGAAATATAGCGTACAGTAAATGCCGCTTAATGTATTCATGTTTATCTACTGCTATTTTGATAACATTAATCGAATGATATTAAAATAAGAGAAAAATATCTTCAAAATGTGCATGGAATTTAACTAATTCAGTGTAATTGTTACGCAGAACGTTCATTTATAAACTGTTTATAAAGCTTTTGGAAGTTATTTGATCGATGCTATACCGTTAATCTTAACACTCCGTTGACGTCCCTTGTATCAGCAATTATAGGAAAGTCACCGATTTCTTCTTTACATTCTCCAGAAATTTTATTATAATATGTGTTTTAATATTTTATTATATTATTATATGCTTATTTTTTATTATACATATGTGTTTGTATTTGTTTCAGAAAGCCACTGCCATATATCTTCTGTCTGAAGAAGACAAATCTGTGTCTGATGGCTCTCGAAATCCACAGACTTATTCAAAATCTGAACCAAACCAAACAAAAGGATGCTTTTTTGCCTAATTTTAAATGGTTGACTAAAAGCGAAGCCAAGCAGTTTGGTAACTGAATCCCTTACTTGGTGACATTTTTCAATCACTTGGCAAATTGATAAAATTTATTTTACAATATTTTGATAACATTAATCGAATTGTTATTTCCAATAGAGGATATGCATTTTCCATATTTCCGTAAACAAACGGGCAGGACTTTGGGCATTCGATAAGTTTAACCGCGATAACATTAAACTGCGTCTACTGGAATTCATTATTCAGTGAAACATTTTTAAAATTTGCAATAAATAAACTACACAACCAATCCAAATTGTATTACATTGAAACAGATACAAACCTACGATATTTTTCTATCATATTTCACAAATGTTCAGTGTGTTCATCTTTACTGATACAGTAGCTATCTATTTAGTAATTCTATTTGACCAAAGCTGTTATATCAAATCAGAATCACTACATATGTGTGTACAGATACAACCACATAACCATTTACTGCGGCTGTGTATATGCTCACAGTCATAGTATATGGCTTCGAATATCCTGGAGATTAGCGGGGGAAAGAGGTAAAAAGAAAGTATCCTTGATATGACCACAATAAGAAGTCACATAGAATTAAATCTGAAGACCTGATGGCAATCACATTAACGCGTTTTCTTATTGTTTTGTATGTCATATCAAATTTCGTTGGACGTTCTGATAACAATATCTATGGTAGTAAGACAAGTAATCTAACGTAGTTGTTTGCTTAAAAGGAAAATCATCGCCATTTTCAATGACCTTGTAAGATTTTATGTTTATTAACGGTCAGTTGTGTTTACTTTTTTCTAATACCAGAGGTACTAATAGTCTCGAAACTCACTTTTTGCCCATATCACTTTTATAACCGAATCATTTTTTAAACTGTTGTCCCCAAATGTTATCTCCATGTATCATTTAAAAATTATATAATGAAATACCTGTATGTATGTATGTTCCTCGTACTATGAGAAAACGGCAGCACCTAGAACCACCGAATTTTTTATACAAGCAATCCTCCATCCGAGCAATGAGCATCTCGAAGTCCAAGGTTTGAATTTCGAATTAATATTTTATCAATTTCATATTTTGTACAAATTTAGCGAATTTTCTTTTAACACGTTCAACGATTAGAAAACGAGAAGGGACAACACTGTTCGGAATATTTTATCTTCGGCGCACCAGACTGTTGTCATTCGGCAAAGTATAATTTTTTATCTTTCGATTTTAATCCTCAAATTCGGCTATTTGAAATCAATGTGTTGCCCCTGCCTGAAATAGAATACTTATTATCTCCACGCACCGAGGTCTTGACATTCAATAAAGTATATAAGATATTTAAAATTCAAATTTAATCTTTCTGTTGCAGAGTAACAACCCAAGTGACTGGGGAAAAAAATGTATAAAATAATTTTCTACCTTAAATCTTATTTCTTTAAATAAAAATGCATTTAAATCACGAGATTCCTAATTTGAAAATTTACATATATAATTATGAAATAACTTTAGTTTGACTCATTAAAACCGTTATATATTTTCTGGTTTTTATGAAAACTCATTTAGGCGGCTAGCTGCTCGAACGGCTAGTTTTCAAAGAAATAATATAGCAAATATAAAGAAATATGTAGCGGTTTATAACATTTTGTTGAGAATTCTAAATATAAGCCTTTTTTAATATTTGTGACTTTGGTATTGAATTTTATGCTGGGTAATGGCAAAGAACGTGATATTCATTAACACACAAGATGTGAATGATAAAAAGACAAAAAATGGTTTTGTAAGGCACATTGCTAAGAAAAATAACCTTTGATATGATGAGCTAAGAAAAGTCTGAAAAAAAGCGAAAAATGTCAATACTTAGCATTATATCGAGAATTCTAAACATATACTGCTACGTTGCTTTTAAAAATTTTGCGATTTCGCTGTTGAATTGTATGTGGCATAAGTGCGAAGAAAGCGATGCTCAATAATAAAACTAAAATCACAAAATTATCTTAACAGAAGTGAGTCCAAAAGTAGTTTGGTGATCTTTGATGTTCAGCGAAAGCATAAAGAACCATAATAAACTCTGTGGTGCGACATTCAGATCTGAATCATTTCGGTTTTTCTTTATTTTGCATTCGTTATGTTTGCCTTTACTCTCACTTCTGCGTTCATCAGCTCCCACTAATACACAAATCAATTAATTTGTATAAGATTTTTTTATTTTTGACTTTACTGTCACATCTAAGTTCGTCAAACTGATATACAGATTAGTTAATATGTATAAGAATTTGTTACTTTTGCCTTTACTGTCACTTCTATGTTCGTCAACTCCCATTAATAAATAAATTGTTTGATATGTATAAGAATTTGTTATCTTTGCCTTTACTTTCATTTCTGCGTTCGTCAACTCACTAATATACAAATTAGTTAATACGCATAAGAAAAGAGTTCTGAAATTTAACAGGACCCGACTAGTGACCGAGTGATCAAGAACTTGAAATATTGGTAGTTCGATTTAGTTTGGGTTCGATCACAGATGAATAGGATAGCTGCATAGTTATTTTATATGGTTTCCTCATTTATATGGTTTCCACACGAATACGACCCAGTTTCCTCAAAATGTCCTCAACGAAGGCATCCCTCCTCTTAGACAGATAGCGCTCCTGGGTTTAACATAATCTGGAATTTAACAGACAGCATTTGTCAGAGACCATTTTACTGTTTCGATACGATTTTTCTTCCAGCTTATATAATTACTTGAATCGGCTGTAGCCTCTGCTAGCAGTGACTGAAGTGTTAAGCCAAATCTTATAGACGGATTTCACCTTGCAAATCTCATATTATAAGTTTTATTTCAATAATTTTGTTCTGTTAACCCCAACAGCAGTGGAGTCATCTGTTCTGACACGAAGCCGTATAAATTGTTAGACTTAAGAACTAACTAAAAGATGTGTTTTAAACCTTTCCCCAAGCTGGTGTTATTTTACTGACAGATTAAGATGGGGCTATAAGATTAATATTTGCGATAGTTATGTTCCATACAAGCTATGGCATCAGATACTTTTTCTATGTCTCCAGTGCGTAAATTCTACCAGTGAGGCAGGTAAATCTAGCAAATGTTAAAGTAAATTTTACCAGTCTGCCTCATCAGCAAAAATGAATAATTTGTTTTTAGTATTTATGAAATCAGCGAGAACAAAACGTGTCGTGACCTTTTTTCAATCGGAATATCACAATAATAAAATAGAGAATCATTTGCGTAGATTTTTGTTGAGAATTTTCAAAATGTCGGACGGAATTACATTTCAGACATTTGTGAGATAACATACTTTTTATTAGTTTATACGATATTTTTAGGGTATTTAATTTTTCTTCATTATAAGTTGTTAAAAGAGGAATAGAATCTCCAAAAATTAATTACAGTTTACTCTTTTGAATAAATCCATGTACAAGTAAGTAGCAGCACGCAATTCAAATCTGCTTTGATAAATGCATTAATAATTAAGTCAAAAACAAACAATACAAATATAACATCAAACATAAAATGAATAAGAAAAGGCACAAAACAAAAGTTTTTATTACTTACTTTTCCTTAGGTGTCCCGAAACAGCTGCTAACGAGCCAACTACGTGTGACAAATATTTAAAAGAACTAATGCAACGTACATTTTTCCTGCATTACGAAATGGCTTTAATCAATGCGGAATAACCACTTTAGTATCGAAACTTCCTTCATTGCCTCCCTTCAAAAGAAACCGAAGACGTTTCCTGTCTTTGCGTGCATTATCATAAACGGAAATTCAAAAAACCCCATGGCTTTCTAAATCTGCTTCCTCTTTCACGTAAATTTACCATTGTTTAAGAGCTTTCTGTGAACGCTTTTTACAGCGATAGCAAACCTCGTGATATTCCGATTTCGGGGGGTAGAAAATAATATAAATATCACAACGAAAGGAATCACGGATTTTGCTTTCCTTTCCGGTTCATATAAAAGTAATACTTGCATTATTTATAATAAATTCTATTTCATTTTAATATAAAAGTTTTACATAACGCACTCTGTACCATAGCGCAGTTGTCTTCAAACTGGGGTTCCGTCAGTCAAACACCAGGGTTGCAAGAGTCAGTTTAAAAAGAAAGTTATAAAGCTATGCATAGAGCACACACTAGTTGACTGGTGTTTATTTAATATAAAATGTGATCGGGACACCCCATGACTTCCTCGTATGTATTACATTAAAAACTGCTGCATTAGAAAATCTGACGTGGGCATCACATGACTTCCTTGTATGGCCTGTTAAATTATATACATTTTTTGCAGCACTTCATATAAACTTATTTCTTCGAATTAGTCTAAATTAATTAACCGATCCCTCAAGGAAAGCTGAAAATGACATAAAAAAATATCAAATTTTGGGAATAAATATTCCGGTCATTTTCTGTCATACGGGAGTCAAACTTCTTATATTTTATTTTATCATAAGAAGTTTTAAATTTTCCTAAACATAATTATAGGAACCGGGAGAACATTTTCTTACATACGCATTGATTTCTATTTTTCAAGCATGTACATAATACTTTTAGTTTTAACACTTAAAAAAACCTTTTACATTTACAGTTGCTTTGCGTTAATTTCCTGAAAACAGTTTCATATCATTTACATTCAATAGAATTCTTTAAGTTACCGAGTCCCGAAGTTGTTTCATTTAATTGAGAAACACGTTAAATTTTCCTATATAACCTCTCAGGTGAAAAATGAACAGCTTGTTCTTAAATTTAAAATATTTTTATTATTGCAAACTAATTCATTTAAAGAGCGTCTTGCTCAGTAAAATTCAAAAATAAAAATTCCTCGATTGTGACGACGACTGGAAGAAAATTTGTCAGCAAACTTTCGTACGTAAAACTGAATACTTAATTAGAGTAAGTTTCACATATTTTTCTTTAGTTGAAGTCAGACGTCCTCTTTTGGACGAACTCATTCCAGGAGGGGAATTTGGTAATATGTCGGACCTTTAGCCGTCGATGTGCTATTATACAGTCCATCTCCGTCTGGGTTTTTCTGCTTACACGCCGCTTCTTTTATTCTTGAAAACATTTTTCGGCATTGACCAAAGTCTGGGGCTGCTAGGTGCTTTTGAGATCTGACCGTCCAAGCTCCTGGCTCTGCCCGGGAAATGCTGGCCTTGTCAGTCGGACGAGTCCGCTACTTCCGTTGGAGGTTCTTCTTCGAACCATTGTTTCTGGTATAGAATTTGCATTGCCTTACGGTTACTAATATCTTTCCTCGGCACTTGAAATCCGAAACGCTGATTCCTTAGCTGGCGTTGTTTGTTCCTTCAGCCCGCTCGCTGGATCTCATAGGTTATCACCGTCTGCCTTCCTTTCTCGGCGACTTGCTACACATTTTGTGCTGGCCCCAATTTTTTCCTTGATGTTACCTTTTGGCTCCTCATGCCTGAGTCTTTTAACTGCTGTTTCGCTCACTCTAGTCGCATTTTCTTTCTCTTCTATAACTATTATTCTTGAAGTCGAAGGCCTATCCGTGTCCCCTTGCTGCTGGTGTTTGCCTTCTGCCAGAAGGTGATTCCTACAGACTGCCTTGAAAAATTTCTAACTGCATCCACACTGGCATTAATATTCCTCTCTGTCGTGTTTGTCGAGATAGCGGAGACGTTACACAATATGTGATTAGAAATTTAACACTTTATTATATAGAAACATGACTATTTGAATTATGTACAAAATATTTACATGTTGATACAGTATGATTTAAGAAGATACCCATGGATTATTCGTTTAACTTCTGGTGTTCCTAACAGCCTACAAAATAGAATCAGCCACTTTGGCTAAAATCGAAATTCGAACACATTCGTAAACGCCCTACCAAAAGTTCTGCAGACAACTCTCGTTGGGTCCGGGGTGCACAGCTTTACACAATGGACGTTTTAGATCTTTAAATGCTGATTCCTCAATATCAGTCTATGGAATTATCTCAGGAAGTTTCTTTTTCGTAAGCTCCGTCAATGGACGAACTATTTCTGTATAATTCTTTATGTAATCACGATAATAGTAGTTTAATGCACTCTTTAGGGCAATCTTCATTTTAGGACTTTCGATAATTTTGAGTGCTCGTAATATTTCAGGATCAAGTTGATGTCTTCCAGCTCCTATTATATATCCTGAACACTTTATCTCTGAACGTGCAAAAATACATTTCTTTACGTTCACCGTAAATCTGAGATCACTTAAGCTAGTGAGCGCAGCATCTAAATGTTTGAGATGTTAATTCCAATATGGTGAAAAGATAGCTATATCATCGTTCTTATGCAAAAATCATCATATTCTTTTCAGGCATCATTCATCACTCGTTGAAAAGTAAAATGCTGCATTTTTTAATGCGAAAGGCATCATCTTCCAACGATATTGAGAATGATGTTAAATCTCGACTTTTTTCTCCTAAAGGTATTTCCCAGTTACTTTTCTAAACATCTAAACCAGAGGTTCTCAACCGGTGGTACGCAAGAGAAAAGTAGTTGGTACGCAAAGAAGCAAAGTATTTTTAACTATTGAATTCAAAAATTAAAACTCCAACATCCTGATTGAGTTTTTTTCTCTAACACTCGTAAATTTATGCTATCTGAAAGAGGGGTGGTGGTAGTAGTATTTTGTAGTGGTGGTACTAAAGGTTTTCAATTTTTGTTTAGATGGTACGCGTTAGTCAAAAGATTGAGAACCGCTGATCTAAACAAATGATAATATTCGCTTGTCTCCTTTTATTGATTAGATCAGCCATTGGAAAACAAACAGGCTTAGTTACTTATTTCAACAATCTGAAGTCTATACATAAGAGCATACTTCCGTTTTTCTTGGCGATATATACGACTGCAAGCCAGGGGGGGTGCCCTGGGGGCGTAAAGCACCCTCCCGCTTCACCACTACCTATACTTATAAAAAGTGCTAAATTTTCAATAGATAATACTTAAGTTTTTAAAATACTGCTTTCCAGCTTCCCCAAAAAATGCATTTGATTAAAAAGGAATGACTGGAAAGTCTGCTATTTTCCATTTAGAAGTAAGATCAGGAAAAATCCTCCTTGCTCAGAATACAAGCTGTGGGAAAATATTTCGAAGGTTTGGTGACCCTTGCAAGTCGTAAAGCTGTTGTTTTTTTACAGTTTTGTATATCCCTCTGTATCCGGTCCAACTTTCCCTCTAGCTATCAAGCTAAATATCAAAGAAAAAGACCTTTCGTTTCGGACAAAGTATCTAAAAGCATAATGGTTAAAAGGAAACAAGTATTTAAAAAAAAAAAAAGAAAAGAAAAGAAAAAGAAAGAAAAGGAAAAAAATATAAGCTGAAGTATTTTATTTTGAGATTTGCTACTTATTATCTAAATATTGCACAAAAGAGGGAAGGAAACGCAATAAAATAGTTTTGAGTGATTAAATTAATTTCGAATTTCAATTAAGTCAATAAATATAGCAAAAATATTAAACTTTTTTTGGAATAATATAGAAAGCATATGAACTTCGATGCTTTCAATGCAATGAATTTCATTTTCTTAGTCATCTAGCAATTTGAATTTCTGTTTTTAAAATGATTTAATAGGGTAGTTCTTAAATACGCAGATAGTTCATTCACTGCCAAGTAATCTATTTTATTTAATTAGCCTAAAAAGGCAAATTGCCCAAAATGGCTATTAATTTCATTTTGGCATTTTGTGTTGCTCATTATAAACGGCGTTTCACTTTTCAAAGTTTTGCCACTAAATCTTAGAATTACATTTAAAGAAATTAAATAAAGAATCTGAGTGAATGTATGTATGTTTTTCGCATCGTGAAAAAACAGCGGTACCTTGAGACACCAAATTTTGAATAACGTAGTCCTTCATTCGAACATGGGTATCTGAAAGTCCAAATTTGGGGTTTGGAATTTGTTTTATTATTTGTTTCATATTTTATAAAACTTTAACGGATTTTTAATTGACAAACTCAACGATTTCAAAGCGAGCAGTGGTACCAAAAAAAAAAAATTATGTCCAGCGCGCGCGACTGTGTGTCGGAAATTCTAAAGATACGCTCTTTTTAATTTATTTTGCCATATTGCTGTTGAATTGAATTTTATGGTTTAAGTGAGAAGAACATATTTTATAAATAAAGTTAAAAACGTTAACACACAAAACGTTAAAAAAACGCTAAACGTTAAAAAAATTTTGGTAAGTGGTAAAATTGTTCAATTTTTAATTACCTGCGGTTATGAATTGTACTCGAAACATTACAATTCCCTTTGCAGTAATCTTAATTTTATTTAAATATACTATCCAGAGATATCATACAGATACTTAAGGCTTCCAAATTGCGCAGCTGGAGAAAATAATTTTCACAACAAAATTATTTCTTTAATGTATGATATTAAGGAGGGAACAGTTATTTTAATTCTTATTTGAAGTTTTTCTTCGAAGAGCAACACCAATCACAAAGGAATGACTAGATTTAAATTTGCTAATAATGTCTCAACTTCACCAATTTTATAGAGCTGCAAAAGGAAAATGTCTTATACTTATCCCTATACTGTGACATATTCCTTGCTCCTATATCCAAGAATTGAATTGTTTAAAATGCTCTATTAAAAATTCTAATAAATATGAGAATCATTGATTTAGTAACTGGAGAAAAAGTACAGAGTCATCTTTCTAACTCTCTTACACTGAAGAATCAACTGTAA